GGGTTGTAGAGGGATCTAGTATCGCACGTAACCATGCATTTGGGTATTCCATGACTGTTGGTCTGATGATTAGGTCTACGGTTCGTACTCTTTACCTCCCTCTTCGGCAAAGGCTAACCCTTTACAGATCATTGGCCAAATCTTTCGTAAATCATTGAGGCTGTCTGGAAGGGTGAGTAATATCGATGCCATAATCAGGACCAGATGGCTAACTAGACTTGTAGAGTCGTGTCGAGCATAGTCCGGGAAAGATCACGACCATGCTCTCCACCGATACGACCCGTCTCGATTTCGCCCTCGGTTTCTGTCACAGGTGCGCCAGTGCTCTTCATTTTAGATAACAACTAATCGTGATCATCCTCAGTGTCTGGGTTTCACCGCTCATGGTACGCCCCTTACTGCTCCCATCCGACCAATTGCTTACTTGAACTGTAGATCATTCTCGCTCTCGGTCTGTTGATTGCCAACCTTGGATACTCGGCTCTCGTAGCCGTTGGTGTCTTGGTTCTGGGCTTCCCCATTCAAGGTCTCCTCGTCAAAGGCATCTTTATGTCGAGAAAGAAGGGTATCAAGATCACGGACGCACGAGTCAGGTTGTTACAAGAAGTTATTCAGGGAATTCGGCTCGTCAAAATCTATGCATGGGTGAGTAGATATACACCGTATTATGGGGATTCTCTGATCTAGGATATAGGAAACGCTCTATGGGCACAAGGTGGATGAACTGCGTCGGGCTGAGCTCAAAAAAGTCCGATCCACTTCGTGAGTTTTCTCTCTTTGATAATGCAATCAGGATATATGCTCATAATTCTTAATCTTAGCATCTTCCGATCCTCCATGATTTCTATTACTGGATTCATTCCCATCTTGGCTTCTATTCTCGCATTTGTGAGTAAATATTCATTAATCCGTGGCTTGTGCTAAAATTCGAATCTAGATCACGTATAGTTTGACTGGTCATGAACTCGACGCCGCCATCATCTTCTCTTCTCTCCAACTACTCAACGTGCTCCGAATGGTAAGCTCCTTTCCCATCAACTATCTCCCTAAAACTCACACTCTTCTAGCCCCTCATTATGCTTCCGTTCGTACTCTCCCTCTGTACCGACGCCGTCGTCTCCCTCGGACGTGTCTCCAAATTCCTCACAGCAGAAGAACTCGCACCTCCCTATCCCATCCACACCGAAAACAAGTTTGCAGTGGACGTTGATGGTGATTTTACTTGGGAAGTATCGGATCCTGCACTGGCCAAGGGTGAGAATCCACGGGACGCGATCAAGGGCGTTGGCAAGGGAAAGGAGGTGGATAAGAAAAAGGCCAAAGAGGCAAAGAAAGAGAAGAAAGCTCAAGAGGCCAAGGAGAAGAAGGCGAAAAAGGAGAATGGGGGTTCGAGTGGGGAAGGAACGTCGGGAGAGCCGAGTCCGGGAGCGACGATCATTCAAGATCCGAGCGAGGATGATAAAGTGTTCAAGTTACGGAATATTGATATGAAGATTCACAAGGGGCAATTCGTCGCGCTCGTTGGGAGGATCGGGTCTGGCAAGAGTTCCTGCTTTAATGCCATTATTGGCGAGATGAGAAAGATGAGAGGCGAGGTAAGCGGTTTCCCTTGATACAGATGCGATTATCTGACGAATCTTTGTAGGTTTCATTCAATGGATCTATAGCTTGTAAGTCGTGAGATGGGGACATGGAGGAATACTCATCGCTTGGTAGATACACCTCAAAATCCTTGGTTAGCTAATGCTACTGTTCGTGACAACATCTTGTTTGGAAACCCATACGACGAAGAGAGGCAGGTCATCTTCAATATAGCAATATTCTTGGAGCTCATCGCCTTTAGATTCCGGGCTGTCGTTGAAGCATGCTCTCTTGAACCCGACTTTGAAATGCTGCCCAATGGCGAACACACAGAAATTGGCGAAAAGGGAATCAACCTTAGCGGTGGCCAAAAGGCCCGTGTCTCCTTGGCTCGTGTCGCCTATTCGAACGCCGATATCGTCCTCCTTGACGATCCCCTTTCTGCGGTCGATGCACATGTCGGGAAGAGTATCCTGGATAATTGCTTGACGACTGGTCCGCTGGCCGATCGAACGAGGGTTCTCGCGACCCATGCTCTCTCGGCTTTGCCAAAAGTGGATTACATCTATGTGTTTGAAAAGGGAGAGATTGTAGAACACGGAACCTATCAAGTAAGTCCATCATTCTTAGCGCTATCCCTCACCTAGACGTTTCATTTTAGGACTTGCTCCAATCTGGTCCCCTCTTCTCCCGTCTTATGGCTGACTATGGAGGAACCGAAACGGCCGATTTAGATAAGAATAAAGGAAAAGATAAAGAGAAGAAAGCAAAGGGAGACTCTGCTGTCTCTTCGAAACCACTCATGCAGGAAGAGGATCGAAACACTGGCCAGATCCAGTGGTTCTTGTATTCTCTCTATATCACTGCCGCGGGAGGTTGGTTCTGGGCAAGCTTCATCATGTTCATGCTATTAGCCGAGCAAGCAGCACAGAGTAAGCCGATTACCCTTGCTTCAATATCATCC